ACACACAGCTAGGTGGTGCCAGAACCAGAACGGGGACCCACCCAGGTCTATCTGGCTCCATAGCCAGTGCTCTAGCCACTAATCCAAAGCTGTTGCAAAATATAAGCTGGCGAATGATTTTTTAAAATTACATGGGTGCAAATGAGGGAATGAGAAAGAGAGGAGTGGGTACCAAAACAGAAGAAGAAAAAAAGCTGAGGTGAAAAACCTGACAGATGAATAAAAAGAAAGGGAATAAACAAAACCGTTCAAGGTTAATGTATTTTAACATTCTATTTCTACATGTGATGCTATGTGTCTGGGCACAAAATGGAAGCAACTAGGTTAGGAAGGATTTTTGAAAATTGTATTTCAATGCTTATTCTTGGATTGCCCTCACTGCCCTTGGTGTAATTACTACAGAGAGATTGGGAGGTGACTAGGTACAACCACAAACCATGTTACATTATAAAATACAGGCATCAATTTCCTCTAGCCTTCACCTCAGAAACTGGACAACTCTTAAATACAAATCATAGCACTGTAGCTCTATTTAAAACCAAATGTTCTCTCACAAGAGGTTAGTGAGAATAAGCTAATAAAACTACAGAGTTTCCTTTTGAAGGACCCCCTGCCATATAAAACTGTAAAATCTTTAGTGATCAAGTTTTATTGTATAATGAGGAAGTTCTGAGAAGGTCAAGAGAAAAAAGCCAAAGCAGCATATGAAACTCTAGGCTATCTGCCAGATTCATTACCTGTTGTTTCCTTTAAAAAAATAAAAAAATTAATAAGTTAGCAGTGATTTACCAAACAATATAAAAGACAAAAGAAGGCAATAATATTTCAAAGATTTTTTTTCTCAGTTTAGCATTTCCTCCTTTTCATCACCATATCCATCATCATTACTTATGTACTTTCCCATTAAACAGAGAAAAACAAAAATACAAAGCACTGCTATTCTGATAACACACGCCGTTGACCAAGCTTTCCACAGCTGGGTCCCTAAAGGAGTCAGGCAGCCCTGAATCCGCCCCCTCCCTGCACCACCCCAATGACCACAAATGAAAATGACCCACCGTCTTTGGGAGCCTTGAGCCTTTCGACCCCTAGAGCTAAAGGTGTAATGAGAGGCCCTGCAGTCCCTGGAGTCAGGAACATTCCTGAGGGAACACAGCTTTCTTACACAATATGTTGCCAATACATCTCCAAAAAGGTTCAAAGCACTTACAAAATTAATCTCATTTAGAGAAAAGGAAACATCCTAACTCCAACTGTTTAACTAGGATCTGACAGCTTCCTCATTAAATGCTGATATTGTTCTGATGTTTGCCCTCCACGATAATGTGAAGGAGCACAAGAATCAAGTAGAAACTGGGTTATAGGATTAAGATTTTGAATAAAACATTTTCACCTCTCTATAATTCTTTTGGTCACTAAGGCTCACTGACATCTAATGACTTGCTATAACCACAGAGTCTCATAGATAGCTCCGCTTCTTTTAAGAACCTATAGACCAAACAAGCCAACATTTAAAGAATTTAATGAATACTCCTCTTCTCTCTATTGTTCCCTAAATAAAAGCAAGGCCTTTGCCTTAATAAACTCAGCATCTTTCAGACCTATAATCCATTCCAAATCCCAATCTCCATGTTGAACTGAGTTAAACATTAAAAAAACACCAAAAAAACACCAAAAAACCCCCCAAAACTTTTCTTCTATGAATGAGCTTTCCAACATGCTTAATCTCCTCCAAGACATCTGCTTTCTGATGAAACCCTGGAGCCTTCAACTCTTGAGTAGAACATTCACTGTGTGGTCTTAAAAGAGGCATATGCACGGATTCCTCTTGCAATATGCACTCCAAATTTGGATAAAACTTTCTTGGAGCTATTTGACATAATGTTCTAAAAAATGATCCAAGAGATGACACATTTTAAAGCTCTATACCTCATTTACTGAAACATGTCCAAGTATAAAATTCATAGAAAAAAAAATAGCATTTTTTCCCAAAGATTTGAGAATGACATTTAGAGTTGTCCTAATAATATAACTAGCCTTTGCTGCCATCTAGAGGTAAAAACTATGTAGTGACATCAAGAGTTACCAAGAAAACCAAAATCAACTTGCAGCCATCAATGGTGTAGAAACAATGGGAGCCCAATAACTTTCAAGCAGCTGACCCTACCAATGACCACCATTCCAAGCCATACTGTCTTCACCAACACATATCAGTATAGCTTATATGAAACAAGCCCCATTAATATTGTGTTCCATATCAATTAGTTTACTGGACAGATTTCAGTTTTGAATAACCTGGGGTACTCGTACCACATTCCTAGACAATCTGAGTCAGTAGATTCTGAGATGGGATCTGGGCATCGCAGTGTTTTAAAAGCCCCACAGGTGGTTCTGATGAGCATCTAGGATCACTGGGCCATGAAACCCTGGCCTTCCACAGTGTTGAACCTCCCACACCCAGGCAGGTCAGAGTTCCAGGTTAGAAAAGACCTTAAAGCTTACATCTAAATGAGTTTCAACTATGGCAGTGTTTATCAAAGTATGTCAGGCTGACCACCTGTATCAGATAAACCACACTGAGGGTTTATTAAAAATGTGGATTTCTGGGTGCATTCATAGACAAATGAATTACAGTTTCTAGAGGTAAGGCCCAGGAATCTACAATGTAAGTAGGATTCCATCATAGGTTTTTGTACACTAAATAGGACAACCAGTCTAAATCCTGACAAAGTTAAAGGACATCACTGAAACCTATCTTGTAAAGGCTATTATTAATGCTGTGGTTACAAGATCAGCTGACTTGAATTATGATTTCAAGTGCAGCTGCTACTTATTCATGGTTTGCACAATACGCAGATGTTCATAGAAATGTCCTGATCTGTGAAGTATTTCCTTCCTTTTTTATGCCTTAATATAACTTAGTATTGCTTTTTTTAAATTGTATACTTATTTTAGAAAATGTGGAGAATATAGAAGATATAAGAAAAATAAAAAGCACTATTACTCCATTACCCAGAGTTAAACACTGATAGCACTGGTATATTTTCTCTTCAAATATACATAAAGTATGTATATAGTTTTAAATCCTGCTTTTAACATTTCTGAATAAATACTTTCCTATATCTTGAAAAGCATAATTGTTTAAAGACAGCATGATATTTTCATGTGATTATAGTGTAATTCATTTACTCTATCCTGACTGTTAGAGCCTTAAACTGTGTCCATTTTTCATTGTTATAAATAATGCTAAAACAAAGAGCCTTGCCTACATCTCTGATTATTTCCTGGCAGGAGAATAATATCAGAGTATCAGTATCTCATTTGCTATGTTTAGGATTAAGTATTAAAAAATATATATAAGGGCTTCCCTGGTGGCTCAGTGGTTGAGAGTCCGCCTGCCGATGCAGGGGACGTGGGTTCGTGCCCCTGTCCGGGAAGATCCCACATGCTGCGGAGCGGCTGGGCCCGTGAGCCATGGCCGCTGAGCCTGTGCGTCCGGAGCCTGTGCTCTGCAAT